CTCTCTCTCTCTCTCTCTCTCTCTCTCTCTCTCTCTCTCTCTGCTTCACTGAGAGCCTCTCTCCCTCCCTGCTCCTGCCTCATCCATATTCATCCCGCGTCTGCCTTTCTCTCTCTTTTTCTCTCTCTCCAACATGCTCTCTCTTCCTGTGTCTCACTGTGTCACTCACAGCATGGCGTTAATACACCAATTAGTACTAAGAGCAGATAATGGACTATGTCATATTGCAAAACGAAAAGAGAGAAGCGGAGCCGGAGCTAGCAATAAAGGGAAAAAAAAGGTTGAATGTAAGAGAGAGGGGGAACAAAAATAGGGGAGTAAAGTGGTGGGGGTTTCTTTATGCATGCGGTCTTTGAAAATGTGAATTTTTTTCATTTACTCCAAACTTCCTGATGGAAACAGAGTGATGAGAAGAGCGCTCTGGTGGTCACAGGTTGACATAAACAGATTTGTTACACCAGCACTTTGCAAGCCCCAAATGTGGATTTCTGTTTGGTTTTGCTGGACACTTAACCCCTTATATTAGTTTTATCTCRTTTCAGAGCTGGAAAAACGGCACAGCCACCCTCTCTGCTCTTGTATTTAATATCTACACGTACAGCCCTTTTTACTGTAAATGCAGAACACGCAGGTCATGGGTTAACGCACGCAGCTCATTGCTTTGTGTAGTGCATTTGAAATTTTAGTGTAAGTTTGCATTTCATGCAAAATTATAGTTTCACCTCAACTAAAAATCATGCAAATTTCATTCTGCCAGATGTTCTCCACAGTGCGATTCAAAAGAAGTCTTGAAAAAAAAGGAAGATTTGGTTTTGTGTTTTGTGGTAAAGGAGGTAATTTGTGAATCAGTGCAAAACAAAAAGCGCATACATACAAATATGGTTAGGTGTTACGTGAATAATGATGTCGCATAAACATGAGCTGCTCCGACTACAAAAAAATGGCATTAATCAAACATGAGCCAGAACAAATTAGAATAAGCCAGCTGTATGAATCCATTTTCCATTTCAGAGGAAAAGAAATATTCAGGCAAACAAGCTCACCGATGCTTTGTTGATCAACTCTGCCTTATCATGCAGGACATCAGTGTACTTAGAATATGAATGCAACTCAAACCACAAAAGAACAAAACGGTATTTATCAGTTTATGCAGTTTCCATGTCATGGTTGATACAAAATAATTTTATTTAGAATTTAAAACATGTCTTTACTTACATGACAGCAGTTTTTTTAAAGCCGTATGAATATTTTAAACACACAATCCTTTTATTTTGGCAAAGGCAGGAAAGTAATTATGATGGAATGTCTTGAAAAAAATCTATTAAAGAAAAGCAATGTCTGTTTTGTAAATTGATCTGTTTATTGTAGCKGTTGCAGACATGGATAAAGTTCAAAGTAAACATGTAGCGCCCTCTTTCAAAGAATTCATTGTAATAAGAAATCGTTCTTGAAGTTAATTGTCTCTTTAAGGTTATTGGCTACGGCTCTTTTTGAGGAAAGCGTTTGAAACAGTGAGGGTGCCGTGTTTGTAAAGCTTCCCTGCTCATGTTTAGTAGGCCAATGAGCTCATTTGTAGTCACTGCTGTTGTTGCTAAGAGACCGGGGCAACGACGAACAACTCCTCTGACTTTGCATGACTTGAAGGTTTAAAAATCAGTTCACATTTCGTTTATTTATGGTCCAGAATGTCCAGCGAGTGACGAAGTTTATTAAGAGCAYGCTTTGATTTTTGCTTGAATTATTTCTGATGCTAAAAAGAAACATAAATAGATTTTGAAAACATGCGACACAAACTGCTTTATGCTACCTGTTTATTGATGCCATGAGTAAGACAGCTATGAAGGTCAATTGGCTAAATTTGCGAGCAGTAAAACAGAGTGGCTGCTGCGTGACAGAGGGCCAAGTGGCCTTTGGCATGTAGGACCTATTCAGTACAGAATATTACCCATCATAATAGAAACTGACAAAATCATTTTCAGAGTCGAAAGAAAAACTGCAACATGCTCCGTGCAGTGGTGCAATAATTGCATGTGATATGGAAGTTAAATRATTTCATCTGGCAGCGTGGCTTGCCCTTTGTTCACCTGGAGACAAAAGACTGTCTGGATTCATTCGAAATGATCATTACCCTGATTTGAAATGAAAATCTTAAACAAATCATCCTTACTGACTTACACTTACAGGTTTAAACCATGTAGCAGCAGAAATGTGCTCCGAAATGTTTACGCAGATGCAACACAAATTCACCTTAAAGTGAGACTAAGGGAGTTTTTTAAACAGAGGTTACTGAACAGTAACTACTTACAGTTTTTCATGCTTCAGTTGCTTTAGGACATCAGCACAAAGACAAATTCTCTGAAAGACCGGAAATGTGGAAAATACAAATCAGCTTCTTGCTGTGATTGTCTGAGTGCGGAGTCAACAGGTTCATCTCAGTAGTTTGAATAATTTAGCCGCAATTTAATTTTCATAAACTAAAGGCTGAACACAAGTAATGCAATACATTAACAAATCCTACAACTGACTCACGTACTTCTGTTGCTATTTAAATTTATTTAATTTTAGTAGTAAAAATGTACTGACATATTTTAGAAATTGCATAGCTTTTGCTTTAACTGGATCATATTTGTTGTTGCAAAAAATTAAATAAAAAAATAAAAATAACATCTGATACATGTATTCAAAATGTTTCCCAACTGTATTTATCATTCTATATGCAGGTTAAAAATAATATAATATTTACACTGATATACTTGGCTTTTCTGTGCTGTGATGCAGATATGAACAGATGCTTTAAATACTGTAAACATGGCAGAAAACAGAAATATATAATGTGTTACAATGAATACAAAATGGTGAAATGAGAATTTAGGATGCAGTCTGTTCCTTTAATGTTTAAGAAATTGCATGGTTTCATAATATAACGGTCCCACCTTGTGTGGTTTTATGCCACTTGCATTTTATGGGTCATTTAATGTATTTGCTCTTTTTTTAAGACAAAAATCAGTTTTACTTTCCAACAAATGCAGCAAACTGATTGAATTAACAGTGACTTTGAGCCATAGCATCAATTTAACTATTTTCATTTTAACACAAAATAAGACTAACGCTGCTTCTGTAAGTGAGAAAACTAACAACTTAGAAAGTTGTCCGACAGGCTGAAAAGAAACATGTCCAGTACAAAAAATTTCAACTTCCGTAACTCACTTGTCTTCCATTTGGCACAATCTTGTTTCATAGAAGAGTTTTGGGTTGTTTTGCAGACTTTCACTACACAAATTGTTATCAAAGTTTTGACCTCACCTATGAGAACATCCTGGAGATCGTCTGAACTCGTGTCACTCCTTCAGCTCAGTGCAACGATCTGTCTTGATTTTTCAGCCACTCGCGTCTCTTTGGGAGGAAACAGAAAAAATGATCTTTTGAAAATTCCACCTGTGACAGAGCAGAGGGCAGCAAACTGTGATCTTTAAGACATTGCTCATTCTCAGTGGGAGCACTTTGACATCAGTCTGAAATGTTATCGGCAGCGTTCATATCACTTCAGTAACAAGTGAAACACAGGAGATGACAAGTAAAACAAACTGTGAAAAGCCTATTTAGATGTAAATTCATGCTATATGTTGAGGAATCCACAGGTGTAATTGCTATATTAACTGCTGCTGAATGCTTCCAATTAGCCAACTTCCTAACTGTGATTAATTGGCTGGTTTCTGATGTGCAAAAACTGTTTGATCTGGTAAAATCGTTCTCTGCTCACAAAAAACACTCTCAGACTCTGAGCATTCCACTCCGTTTTCACATCCGGCTGAAGAAGTTTCAGCTTTTGCATATTTTGGTGCAGTCTCTCGATGCAAGCACAAGAATAGTTTTATTTTTTTATGGTGTATAATACTCTTTAGGAAACAAAGTTTTCAGTTAATGAGGACGCATGCTGCAAAACCAACTTGTTGCATTGGAGTCTAAATTTGATTTGAAAGTATTGAGGAGACATGGCACATATAAGAAACTATATTAGTGGGCGTTTTTTTTCTGAGCAACTTGACAAACCACGTGACAACCAAAATGTGAAAATAAAAATAAATGTTAACTTGTAAAAGGTGTCRCATTAGACTTCAAGCTATTTGGTTAAATAAACTGAAAAATCATCTTTACGTTTTCAGTCTTTCTGTGAAATCAAAGACCAAATGTACTGACTGGAATAGGCCTAACGTAGACCTGCTGAGGCTGAACATACCATGTGAACGGTCCTGATGAGAGCGTGCGCTGCCTGCTGACAAAAGAGGGGAAAGAGACCAGTGAGCTGCTCTGTGCGTCAGGACGCACAAGACAACCGCATATGGCCCGTGTAGTTTCCTCATTTCAACCGTCGAGCAAGAGGCAGGCGAAGAGTGGACAGTGTGTGGAAATAGCATGAAGAGGGGCACATCAGACACTGAAGAGTCWGATTTGCTTTGCACGCAGACGTTTTGCGACGGTGGCACGTTCGCTCATGTGCACACCTTGTGAGCAGCCGCGGAGGAGACAGCACGGTTACTTCTTCGGTTTAGTGAACTCTCCTTTGTAGTTTTAACATTGCTGTGGTCGTCAGCAAGGCTGTAATTTATATGTCATCGTTGTTTTTACCCAGGACGATGGCGTCGTCGCTGTTATTTATCCTGATGCCCAGACGGGCGCTTTTTCGTCACAACTGGTCCTGTCCTTAAGGATTTTCCACCACTGCCTTTTTTATTTTCAGTCAGGTGGATCTTTCCTCCAATCTTTTGTTTTTATCTTACCTTATTTTCTCTCCGGTTTGACTGTAAGATAGCAGCCTTTTAAATTTTTTTATTCCTATGCATCCGCATGAAGACAACACCAGAAAGGAGAAAACGACTGAAAACCGAAGGGGGAGAAAAGGAGACGATTGAGGAGGGAAACGAGAATGAATGAGACACACTGAGCAGCCAAGGAGAAGGAGATTGGAATCAAGGTAAGACCAACGGACAGTTTTCTTATTTTTTTGTTATTATTTATCAAGATGATTCCATGCGCTCTTTAATAGCCTGCATCATGTTGTACCGACAGCGAGAATAAGAACTCTGCACCAACCAAGCGTCCCCCATCAGCCTCCGTGAGGTGTTCAGCCGTGTAATCCCGTTGATTTATTTAATAATTAATGGATTGACAGTTATGGAGTTGATGTTTTTTGTGCGTCGACTGCAGTCGCTTCGTATTTAAAATGCGCACTGGATGTCCAAAATAAGAATAAAGTCGCATTCATTGCGCCAAAGCAATAACACGATTGTAACGATTACACTCAATATATAAAGCTATAGWTTTTAGGGATTAAAAAGGACAGCCAGCTTGTCAGCTGCTGACCAAAACACAGGCGGATTATTTCTGCAGCAGCGCTCTTTACAACTGATAAACTCCTTCACCCGTATAAATATATAAAAAATGACCGAAATGTCTTGGATGGTAAAAGTAGTTTTTCTTTTTTTAAAATCTGCACGCTTCCCGTTTTATTATCCCAATTTATTTTCACGAGAGCACAGGATCCTTCAGACAGAGACAGAAATTACGCATCTCATTGAGCTTTAGAGGAATAAACGCAGCAGAGCGAAGTGCACAGTCCCACAGTGAACTGCTGCGTTCAATCCCACGCCAATAATTCTGCACCTCTACAAATCATTACATGTAGGCTGCCTTCTTTTCAGAGAGCATACCTTTCTGAAAGGAACCCCAGAAGTATTTAACTTTTCTGAAATCAAAAATAAAGAAAAAAAAAAGGCATCTTATCTCTTGTCTCCAAAATTAAAACCACACCTGGAAAGATATCCTGATACATCCAAATTTGATCAAAAGTAACTCCATATTCATTTTGAGCTTGTATTATGAAAACTGAGTCGCTATTAGAATATTACTATGCTGAACTAATTCCCAATTTAATAATAAATGCGGAATAAAAAGGCAACAACTACCTGTATTGTGTGGCAGTTATGAAACTGAACATTTGTCTTTGTGTGCCATCATGACAAAATTGCACAGACTCTGAAAAACAGTTATTTTCAGCCTATAAGCCTTTTTTTCCTCATTTCACYAGGGTGCATTGTGTTTGTCCTGCCAATTTTGGGGGAAAAATTGGCATGTCTGCTATTCTGAAGGGGCTGAATGAAATTCAAATTCTTCAGGTGGTAAAACAGCAATATTGCAACTGTCTGATTGCGTTATCTGGGCATTCAAGAAGGCAGGCTTGGAATTGGTTTACTGCCAAACACACTCCCCAGGAAGACAGAAGGATTTATTTCCCCCTTGTCTGTGTGTCACATCACCATCAGAAAAATTATTCTCGCCTTTCGGCGGTTGAATAATTGTCATATATTAACATGGCATTAATGATCATCAGATATCTTGCAAGTATCAAAATCATAATTTGATTAATTTTAGTGGGTGTGTTCGGAGGCTCTGCAGTGTTGTAGTCAGGATTTGATTATGAGTTCTTTTTTTTACAGACAGAACAGTTTGTGAGAAAAATGTGGTGCATTTTACATAATTTTAGTACACATAAAAAGAATTATTGAAATTTTCCATGCTGTGTTCAGTGTTCAGCTTTAAGAAATATTTTCTYAGTGCACATGCATGCAGTACATAAATGTGTGCAAATGAATGCAGAGAAGAAAAAGTGCACACACAAAATATATTTGTTGTGAATAGMAGTTTTTTGCATTTTACTTCTTTCTGACAAGGCAGACAAAATTACTGCAGTCATAGAAAATAAGCAGTGTCAGAAGGACACCTGTGATGTTTGACACTCTCTAAACATTTATGTTTGTTCTAAAATGCTAGCATTTACTTGCGCATAAAAATATGAAACCTTCAATGTCAATTTGCCACTTAAATTTTGTTTTTACTCCATTGCTCTTATAATCGTGGCAGCTTGTTTTGAATGTAACAAGCCAAAAGATTGTTGGTTTTTTTTAATTCTCTGTAAAGATTTGTCTGAAACTTGTCAAGCATTTTGTAGCTTTATGTGAAAGCAAGCATGCCACAGTAAACACATGATATTAAAGATGAGGAGAAAAGGTATTTTATGGTTTTGTGAATTCACGAAATAAGTTTTATTTTAAAATGACTTTATTTTTTGTCCCTCCATTCACCAAGCAGTTGAACTGTGATTTTCACTTTTATGGCTGCAGGATTCGTTTCTAAAAAATGTTTTGAAAAAGCGCAAAAGTAAATAATTCGTACAAAAATTCTCACTTTGGTAAATCTGATTTAGCAAATAAATACAAATAAATACAGTCTGTGCCTAATGGAAAAAAAGGGCAATTTCTTCTAGAAATTATAAAACAACCTAGTTCAACTATTCTCCGTGTCAGCATATATTAATTTGGTCAAGTTTTTAGAATATCTTCTCTCACATTTCTTTTACACACACACACATCCTCTACAATCTCCAGGACAGGCTGATTAGGGGCATAGTTTGTAGCAGCACAGAGGATTTCTGCGGCCACACAGCAGTATATTTTGTCTGTTTGTTGACTTAATCTCCAGTTGCCTTTTGATGATGAAAGGTTTCCAGATTTAATATCCGATTAGATCTACAAGCCTGGCATGCCAGTCTGCCTGTATTATATTATAGTCCACAGTGAGTTATCATGCCCGTGGTCCATATAGATTCATCATAAGTGAAGAACATTATTGAAAAACAAACCTTTGCAAGATTGAATTGTACCTCAGTGGGTATTTTGACCTTTCTGCCTAATCTGGTTTGTACATAGCACACAAAATCCCTCAAATGCCTGTTGTGGTATCATTGCAGTCTGTGATTAGAGAGGTCGATTCAGCCTATTCCATCTCATTTGGGAGGAGGTATGCAGTGAAAAAAGTGGTGGGTCGCATGACTATTTTTGTAATATCCCATGAGAGCATGTGTACCTGGATATCTCTTGTGCCTGGGCATAGAGTGATCTTTTGTGCCCTTTTTTTTGTAATGTCAAAATGCTCTGTCTCTGCCGGGAAGTTTTTTTTTCTTTTTCTTTTTTCTTTTTGACTGACCCAGAAGCTTTTTACTGTGTTGTGCCTGGTAGCTTTTCCTTACTTCTTCTCTTTGTTGGCAGCATTATTTACCTGGCACTGGCAGTTCTCTAGTTTGTCACCGGTATGATAAGACTCATCCTTACTGAAAAGCCATTATGATTATAACAACAGTTATTATGATTCTCTGTTTTACCACCACTAACAAAACACACTGGAAATGGTTTTTAACAGCCATTGCTGGACTCATTATTGCAATCAAAAATACCCAATTATGTTTACCAAGGCTATTCGTAATGTGTTGGCTGTTTTCCCCTTAATGCTAGATTACATGTTGGTAGCACAAATATGTAATGGCTTGGAAATAAAAGACTAAGAAGAGAGGAAAAAATAGAAGAAAGCTGATGAGAAAAGAGCACAGAAAGGAGAACTATGCAACAGTCAGAGACTTTGTGTGGCAGCGAGGTGTAAAAGCTATGGCCAATGTACATCCATTTTGCAGCTCATGGCCTTTGTGCTGCAGATAGTCATCCACTCATGCAGCGGTCTGGAGCTGCAGCCTATCAGCTCTGTGGTCTCTGTTGCTCTCGGAGAAGGTCTGAAGGTGTGGGTTTCTTTGAAGACAACTTTACAGGAACTCTACCACACGCTAATTCAATTCAGTGCTGCCAACCTTGAGCGTGTGTAGGCGCCGGGATGGCGAAAATGAACAGGGGCAACGAGAGCACATGCACAGAAAGAAATCGATGAGGACTCTTTTTCATAAATGGAGTGGGTGTTAAATTAACTGGATTGGCCCATGTAGCAACACACTGGATTGAGTGCTGGCTGTATTTGGGTTGTGTCTATTGACTGCGAGACAACTTGGTGTACAGCAGTGAAAAGACGCAGCTATGTTCAATCAATGCGACCAATCAGCCTCACCGGCATTTTGTTCAGTTTTACACAGATTTGTCAGGGAAATGGGGTCCTGGTGGTTTTCAAAAAGTCTCTCTGCAGTTTCAACATTCAAATCATGAAAGTCTTTTATTATTATTTTTTTTAGTTTTCTAAAATATTTTTTGGCCTTTGTATCGGCACAGCAGAGAAAGTCTTTAGAGCAAATCTTCCAGCTAGTTATCTTTGAGGGTGTTCTTGCTTTCATAACCTGTTTGAGCCTGTCTTGTTTTTTTTTTAACATTGTAAAAAGCAACTTCAAAAACCAGTCACCATCTCTCTTTGTTTGTCCATTTTAATTTTTTAACAWGTATTTAAGAGATTTTCAAGCCCCATGGCAAGATTAGACTTTTAAGGCACTTAAAAGATAATAATCACAAATCAGTGTAATCTTGCCGGGGAGGTTGTGTGGCATTTTAGGAAATCTCTTATGGCAGTTTCAAGAAAAGGTGTGTAATGGCATGGTGCTCTTAAGTTCATGAGACAACTCCAGTCTCCATTAACTAACAATAAGCGCAATCATGCAGATGAGTATGCATGGGAAATGAGAAACATAACTGAAAAAAAAAAAGAAATTATTTCACAGGTATTGAAATCCGCAAAGGACGGAAGAGAGAGTAAAATGTATTTTGCATAAAGAAAAAGATGAGGCGAAGGGACCTAAAGCTCTGTCTTCAGGTAATTGGAATTGCTTTCCTCATCCAAGCTGTCCATCTAAAAAAGGAGGAGCACACAGATGAAAGGAAGCAGGGATCAATTGACCTAATAGCTTKCCCAATCAATCCTTATGTTTTTCTGATGGCTTGATTGAGGGTGCAGACGGGAGTGCTGGATGAACCCCTCTAATTGGCTCGACCAAAATGGACAGAGCAGTAGTAGCCGTCACTTCTCCTTACACCTGGTGGTCTCATTTTACCGGTGTCRATACTGACATCTTTATCCTCATTACCTCCAGCTTAGAGCTATGTGCAGACTTTTCATCAGCTGCTTCAAGACAAAAATGTTCTTTCTTGCACC